TATCAGATTACTATCTGTGGTGGGTCTGCCCATGGCTGGGTGGTCTCCAGGAAATGCCACACCAGTTGCCTCCCCAGTGAAAGGCGAGTATGGGGTAGACCCAGCCCCCACAACCTGGTGGGTAACTCTGAGGGCTAGGCACATCTTCGGATACCTGAGCCCTATGGGGTGCAAGACCCCAGAGGCCCCAGCAAGGGGGCAAAAATATGAACAGAGGCCACACAGAGTAGGGTGCGTAGTGGCAGCCTGAAGGGCTGTGCATGAGATCTATAGAGTCGGGTCTGCACAGGCAGCCTGAAGGGCTGCACCAGGGATGTGCAGAGTAGGGATACAGGGGTGGCCTGAAGGGCTGCACATGAGCCAATCCCCACAAGAGTTTGAACATAAGGGATTGGCCCAGAGAGTGTCTAGTAGATGAGTTCAGTCCAGTGAGGCATAAGGCCGGTGGCCAGGTAGAGTAGGGGCTGTGTGAGGGTGGCCTGGCCAGCCCACATGTGGCCCTCCAGAGTGTGCATGGAAAGCCTGAAGGGCCATGTAGAATAGGGCCCAAGGGGGACCTGAAGGGTTGTGCAGAGTAGGGCAGGTTGAGAGTGTCCCAGTGAGGGGCAGTATAAATGAGGCTCAGAAGCAGGTAGTGTGTTTGGGGCCCTGGGAAGGGCAGAGTATTAGGGCAGAATGCTTGAGGCCCAGCAAGGGGCAGAATTTGGCTCGGCCATGGGCTGGAGCTGTTACCAACTCGGGATACCATCTGTGAGACATAGGATATGGTATAGGGCAGTTCAGAGCCATGCATAACACCCAAGGCATTGAGGTACTTACTGGGCAGCCTCCCACATTCAACATCTAGCTTAATGCAACAAGTCATGGCAGGTGAGACACAGTAGGCTGCTCTAGACAGGAGAGCAGGCCGATGTTTAACTGGCCTCATAAAGGCCCCCTGACACTATCCAAGGTCCATCTGGCCAAGTACTAATAATTCAGTTTAGATCAGCAGTGCTCAAACTTTCCCACATGCCTGCTGGATGAGCAGGATGTCACTAGTCCAAGGGGCAGATATGGCATACAGATTGACCCTATGTGCCAGATCTGGCCTGCAAACCAACTCTGCATGCCATAGGTCCAATTATGGACTGGCCTCATTCACCACGTCCATGGCCACATACCTGATCAAGTATTGTAGGCAGGGTCTGGCCATAGAATCATAAAGAATTAGGGCTGGAAGGGACCTCCAGAGGTCATCTAGTCTAAACCCTGGCCTGAGGTAGGACCATCCAGGACCTCACTTCGGTGTCCAGAGCCACACTTCAAGACAGATCCGGTCGTGTGGGGCTACATCATCCAACCCCGGGGCTCTGCACAATCCAAAAGTTTAGCAGCAGGGGAGCAGCTGTAGCATGAACTGCTGCAGGCTTCCCAGACCTGCAACAATTAATACTGTCACTGTTCTCCGCTGCCAACTTTCTGCACCTATGGAACATGGGCCAGAGGACTCAGCTCCCACCTGTTTAGTTCTATAAACTACAACCAAGAACAACTACAGCTGCCACTAAAAATCACAAAATATGGGAGGCACTTTTTTTACATTTGCTCCAATGAAAGCAAACACGGCTCAAATTAAGGTATACTTGATCCTGCCTCAGTGCAGGGGTCAGATTAGATAATTCCCTTGTGGTTCCATTTTGCCCTACATTTGAAGGAATCAGACAGAAATGAAAATTGCTACTTTATAGAGCAAACTTTTGCATGTAATAACTATCACAAAATACTGTTGAATTTTCTTTTATATAAAATGCAAATGCATTTTTGATGCATCTCCACCAGTGAGGATGCATCACTGTGACCAAATCCATCCCTGGTATGAGCCATATATTTGCTAACTACAGCTGCTTGCTAGGACCAGCTTCTATACTCCTATATGTCTTTCTACTTATTTAGCAGATATATATAGGCAGATTCCAGTTTGGGGATTTCATAAAACTAACAGTCTGATTAGATCAGCGATTCTGAACCAGGGTGTTAGAGATACTTTTAAGGGTGACACAGGGTGCTGTTAAAATGTGTCAACACCTACACAATTCACAAGATAAATCCAGACATTTCAAATAGGAATCCCTAGTGTTGAAAACATTCAAATCTCCTTCTGGTCTTTCTGAATTCTTTGCAACAAAAGGACCCCTCTGCTATTTTTTCCATAGTCAAAAAATGAGTTCAAGCTAAGAGCTTGCATTTTCCAAGGGGTGACTTGAGTTTAGTAAGGGATGCTTTAAATCTAAAAAGGTTGAGAACCACTGGATTAGTTAAAATGAGAAAAAATGCAAAAGCATTGCAGCTTTCATTTTTAGAAAAGCAATCTTTTAGCCCTTTTCCTTACAAAGGCATATTTTAAAACAGACAGTGGAACAAGAAGGAACCAGCAGCTGGTCTCAATTCAGCAGGACACAGGGACCTCAAGTACCCCCAGACACACGTTTTTTTTTCCTTTTTCTTTCAAATGGAGTTTAAGAAAGTTTGCAGTGTGCCCTTTTTAATGATTTAGGATAGACCTGTACAGAGTAGTGCAATAATGCTGGAGAAGGGATGATTACATCTAGAGAGGGGCAAAACATTATTTTGGAAGCCTGCCCAAAAATGTCAAGACTGGCTTTGCATTTTGGAGTGACAAAACAGGGCTGTGAAGTTCTTAGAGAAGGACACTTGGGAAAATGAAGCCCTTGAGGGAAACTGTTAGAGTAGATGGAGCAGGGAGGACACAAGAAGAGCAAAGTCTGCTGGAAAAAAACATCTGACCTGCGAGCAACAGGAGTACACCATGATGCTTTGAAGTAAAAGCTGCAGGAGCAAATTAACATAAATTGCACATTTTCAAACACCTGTTGTGCTGTGAATAAAGAAGGGAAAGGAATTGGCTTTGCAGATCAGACTAGTTCTGAGTGACCAATTCCATATACTTCTAAGGAACATTCACAGAAATCTGCAGTGGACAATTACAAAATACCCTGACTGTAGGAGAAGTTGCAGCCTAGCTCCCATCAGTCACAGGTTAACTTCCTCCCTGAAGCATGAAGGTTTATATCCTGCTGGTTATTTTGTGCTGTACCTCATGTAACTTTTGATATGCTCGTCATCCATTTAAGCATCTAATCTTTTTTCAAAGTCCTAGTAAATTCTAAGATCTAATAACATCTTGCACAAGACATTGGTTCTATTGGATATATATGCATTATGTTATAATTCACTTTGTGTATTCATTTTAAATGTGTTACTTTTTAGATTCATGGACTATCCTCTTGCTTGTGTAAGATGAGAAAATAAACCTAGCTTCTCTTTATATCAAGAATGGAATTGGTAGTTATTACTGAAGAATCTCATCCCAACTAAGAAGTTATTCTACTTATCAAACAATTAAAACATTCATTTTAAGATCTGAAAAAACTTATCAGGGATACTAGCCAATTGTCTCCCCCTTGCATGAAACACTCTGACTGGCTGTTTCCATCAGCCAATCTGAGTATGAATAAAGCATTACAGGCAGACAGACTTAGGCTTTATAATATTAGAATTGTGTGTGCATAAAGAAATTTCTATTTTGTCTTCAGAAGGTATACCTTCTGTCTCTCTACTGTCTGCTGTCTACACTGAACAAGTCCTGTTTTTCAATCATTCTTCATATGGAAATCTCTCCACACTCTCAACAATTTTTAAAATCTACCCTTGAACTTCTCTTATTTCTTCTCTCTTGAGATGTAGTGACCAGAACCAAACAGTACCCCAGACAAGGACGCACCAATGTTTTACAGAATTACATGATAATATTTTTCAATATTACTTTATAATTCAAACTTCAGACACTCAGCCATTTGGTTTGACTTTCTTTTTGGACTCCAAGCCAAGAATAAAATTGTTGGGGCTGTCCAGAAGAACTGTCAGGGCTCTTTTCCTTTGTAGTAAGATCCAGTATCAAAATCCAATACAAACACAGGTCTTGGTGTAGGGCCTGAAATCAGTTTTTGTAACTCTAAGGTAAGGTCCCATAAGAAAACATTGTATACATTAATCCTAAATCACCCTAAAAGGCTCATGAAGTTCAATTCTAATATAAACCTGTATATGTAGGAAATACAACAAGGGGCAAAATCTCCTCAATCAGACACTGAACATCAACTTACAACACAAAACACTACTTAAGCCTATGGAATATGACCACCACATTCTTCATCTCTAGTGCATGTCATCCTGAGTAACACTGAAAAAAATGCACCAGATAAAAAAAGAAGCCAAGGTGATATGATGAGCTTTTTAGAGACTGCAGGCGAGTCTGGAAGGGCGGCTGAATGCCCAGCATTGTTCTGAAAGCTTCAAACCTTAACTTCCAAAGAAAGCAACCTTTTGGCCCCAAAAGCAGAAGCACTGGAATGCCATAAAGAGGACACTTGAACCCCGTTTAAAAACAGCCCCTTCCCTAGGTTTCCAGGACAAACTCCACTAAGAGACAGCGCTCCTCGCAGTTATTCTGTTGGAATGGAGATGCTCCACTTTCAAAGGGGTGGCTTCACAGATGTGAAGGTTACCGGGAATTAAACCAGCCCAGTTTCCCAACGGTGCCAGTCCGCCATTGAACCTGGTACGAGGAAGATGAGGGACCAGTTGCTGGACCCCTCGAAGCAGTCACCTGCGTAAAGCTGCATGTCGCCCCCCGTCAACAGTTCAAGGGGCAACCAGCTCTAACAGACTGAGCTCAGCTCTGCCTTGAGCCGTCGCGAACCTGGAGTGTGGTTTCTCAGAAAAGACACCACGTTTACCCGAAGACCCCGGTCTGCGTTTGGAGCTGGCACCTTTTCATCCCTCTCGGGGCACACGAAAGGAGGCCCCTCGGGCTCATCTTCTGTCCTCACGCCAGCCTGCCCGGCTGCGGGTGATGCGGGAGAGACCCGGGGCAGTGCATGACACCGGGGAAGGAACCGCTGGCTGGCTGGCTGTGCCCCCCCCCGCCCGGCGCTTACCTTGGGGGACCGGCTGCGCGCCCCGCCCGGGCCACAGCTGTAGCAGCAGCTGCAGGAGCAGGCAGGCGGCTCCGCGCGGGCTCATGGCTCCAGCTGCGCACAGGCGCGCACTACAGCTCCGCGCCCCGGGCCGGGCGGGCGGCGGG